TGAGTAGCGGAGAGAATGGGCATTCTTGTCTTTGTTTCTGAACTTAGTGAGATGTTTCTAGTGTTTTCACTTTTAGTAAGGTACTGGCATTAGGATTAAGATATATAAAATTAGTGGGGTGCCTGGGTGGCTCAGTTAGTTAAGCATCTAACTCTTGATTTTGGCTCAGGTCATGATCTTGAGGTTCGTGAGATCAAGTCTCACTTGGACTCTGCACTGACCGCAAGAAGCCTGCTTGGGATTCTCTCTCTCCCTCTCTCTCTGCCCTTACCCTCTTCACACACATGCTCTGTCTGTCTCTCTCTCAAAATAAATAAATAAATAAATACATAAATAAGTAAAATTAATATATCATATTTTAAGATGATATAATTGTTATGCTTAATAATATATGATATATTATGTGCCTATCATACATATATACATATCTTTCAATTTCTATATTCTTCGATGTTTTTATAAAAACAGGGTGTTGAATTTTGTGGAAGGTTTTTTTCATCATTAAGAATAAAATCATACCGGGTGGGGTGTCTGCGTGGCTCAGTCGGTTGGGTGTCTGACTCTGGCTCTAACAGTTGGTGAGTTCGAGCCCTGCATTGGGCTCTGTGCTGACAGCTCAGAACCTGGAGCCTGCTTCAATTCTATTTCTCCCTCTCTCTGCCCCTCCCCCACTCACACTCTGTCTGTCTCTCTCTCAAAAATAAATAAACATTAAAAAATTTTTAAAAAGAATAAAATCATACAATTTTCCCCTTAAATCTATTTATATGGCTGTGATATTAATGGATCTCTTCAATCTTGAATTTCTTTTTTTTTTTAAATGTTTTATTTATTTCTAGGAGAGAGAGAGAGAGAGAGAGACAGCGTGAGCAGGGGAGGGTCAGAGAGAGAGGGAGTCACAGACTGAAACAGGCTCCAGGCTCTGAGCTGGCAGTCAGCACAGAGCCCAACGGAGGGCCCGAACCCACGAACCGCGAGATCATGACCTAAGTGAAAGTCGGACGCTTAACCGACTAAGCCACCCAGGCGCCCCTTCAATCTTGAATTTCTGAAATAAGGCCCACTTGGTCCTGTGTTGGAGGAGGTCATCAAGAGGACGTGACTGTCAGTCGCCCCGCCAGCTGGACCCAGGCAGTTGGGAGCTCCTCACCCTCTCCCCCAGCCTAGAAATGTGTGTTCTGCTTGCCTCCCAAGCACGAGAAGCTGTCCAAGAACGCGGTATATGTTAGTGACGTGCTTTGGAGACCATTTGGACAGTACATGTGACTGAACTCATTTAAGGTCTTTATACAAACTTTTAAGAGTCTGGCTGATTGATATACACATTCATGCACAGGCTTCTGTGTAGGCATCAGTTTTCAGCTCCTTTGGTAAATCCCAGGGAGCACAATTGCTGATTGCATGGTAAGATTATGTTTAGTTTTGTAAGAAACTGCCAAACTGTCTTTCAGACCGGCTGCACCATTTTGTATTCCCACCTGTTGTCAATGTTCGGGATTTGAGCTATTCTCATAGGCACCTAGTGGTATCTCACTGGTGTTTTAATTTACATTTCCCCATGACCTATGACGTGGAGCCTCTTTTCATATGCTTATTAGCCATCTGTATATCCTCAGTGAGGTGTCTGTTAAGGTCTTTGGCCCATTTTTAAATTGGTTTATTTGTTTTCTTATTGTTGAGTTTTAAGGGTTCTTTGTATATTTTGGACCACAGTCCCCCACCCGATGTGTCTTGTGTAAATACTTTCTCCCAGTCTGTGGCTTGTCTTCTTATTCTCTTGACATTCTTTTTTTTTCCTTGACATTATCTTTTAGAGGGCAGAAGTTTTTCATTTTAAGGAAGTCCAGCTTATCACTTCTTTCTCTCATGAATCATGCCTTTGGTGTTATATCTAAAAAGTCATGATCTTACACCTTCAATAACATCATGTTATACGCCGATTATACCTCAAAAAGACTTGGGTCAGGGGAGTCATGGACAGACCCAAGGTCATCTAGATTTTCTCCAATGTTATATTCTAGGAGTTCTATAGTTCCATATTTTACATTGAGGTCTAGGATCCGTTTTTAGTTACTTTTGTGAAGGGTAGAAGGTCGGTGTCTAGATTCGTTCTTTTTGCATGAACATGTCTGGTTATTCTAGCACCAATGTTGAAAAGACTATCTTTTCTCCACCATGTTGCCTTTATTCCTTTGTTGAAGATCAGTTGTTCATATTCATGTGGCTCTTTCTGGGGTCTCTATTCTGTTCCATTGATGTGTGTGTCTACTTCTTTTTTCCCCACACCACACTGTCTTGATTACTGTAACTTTCAGTAAGTCTTAAAACCAGGTCATGTTGTCCTTCTGCTCTTCAATATTGAATTGGCTATTCCAGTCCTTTGCCTCTCCATGTGAACTTGAGAATCCGTTTGTTGATATCCATGAAATTACTTGCAGGAATTTTTGTTAGGATTGCACTGAATCTATAGATCAGGTTGGGAAGAATTGACATCTTGGCAATGTTGAGCCTTCCTTTCTATGAACATGGAATATCTTTCCATTTATTTAGTCTTTTTTTTGATCTCTTTCATCAGACTTTTATAGTTTTCCTCATTTAGATCTTGTATATGTTGTGTTAGATTTATACCTAAGTATTTCATTTTGGGGGGATGCTAATGGAAGTGGTTTTGTGTTTTTAATTTCAAATTCTATTTGTCCATAGCTTGCATATAGGAAAGAGATTGACTTTTCTTTTTTTTTAAAGATTTTATTTTTAAGTAATCTCTACACCTAACATGGGGATTGAGCTCACAACCCTGAGATCAAGAGTTACATGCTCTGTCAACTGAGCCAGCCAGGCACCCCAGAAAGAAATTGACTTTTGTATATTAGCCTTATATTCTGCAAACCTGCTATAACCACTTATTAGTTCTAAGAATTTATTGTTGATCCTTTCAGATTTTCTACACTGATGATCATATCATCTATGAACAAGAACAGTTTATTTCTTCCTTTTCAATCTGTATCCCTTTTATTTCTTTTTCTTGTCTTATTGCATTAGCTAATACTTCCAGTGGAATGTTGAAAAACAGTGGCGAGAGGCTACATCCTTGCCTTGTTCCTGATCTTCTTTGCAAAGCTTTGAGTTTCTCACCATTAGGCATGATGTATCTGTAGGATTTTTGTAGATACTCTTTATGAAGTTAAGGAAGTTTCTCACTATGCCTAGTTTACTGAGAGTTTTTATCATGAATCGGTGTTGCATTTTGTCAAATATGATTTTTTATTTTATTTATTTAAAAAATTTAAAAAAATTTATAGTTTATTTTATTTTTGAGACAGAGAGACAGAGCATAAGTGGGGTAGGGACAGAGAGACAGAATCCAAAAACAGGCTCCAGGCTCTGAGCTGTCAGCATAGAGTCTGATGCAGGGCTCAAATCCACAAACCGTGAGATCTGACCTGAGCCGAAGTTAGATGCTGAACTGACTGAGCCACCCTGGTGCCCCATTTTATATTTTATTTTAGAGAGAGAAATAGTAAATGGGGGAGTGAGTCAGAGGGAGGGAGGGAGGGAGAGAGAGAGAATCATAAGCAGGCTCCACACTCAGCACAGAGCCGGAGCCAGGGCTCGATCCCATGACCATGAGCTGAAATCAAGATTCCAAGGCTAAACCAACTGAGCCACCCATGTGCCCCTGGAGGTCTTCACCCCATGGCCTGCCTTTCCACCTGGGCAGAACATCTGCCCCACACCTTCTAGGTAGTATTTTCATTATCATTATTTTTTAGAACTTTGTGCTCCAGTTTATTTCCCCCAAATTACTTTCGGTTATGTGTTGATGAATAAGCTCTCATTTTCTTACACTGTGGTCAGAGCATAGTGTTCACATTTTTACTTTATTGAACTTACCGATGATTTCTTTGTGACTGAAGAATGATTAGCATTTGCTGTTGTCCTTGTGGATGTTTCATTTCTTTGGATTCAGGATTGTTTGTTCTTGGGGGGAGTTTTCCTCCATTGATGTGCTTTATTTTCTGATTTTGGGGGTTTTTTAGAAGTCCAGTGCGCTATCCATTGCACTATAGAGCCTCCTTGATTTTTGGAGTCTTTTAAAATTAATTAATTGGGGCGCCTGGGTGGCTTAATTGGTTAAGCGTCCGACTTTCGCTTAGGTCATGATCTCGCGGTTCGTGGGTTCGGGCCCCGCGTCGGGCTCTGTGCTGACTGCCAGCTCAGAGCCTGGAGCCTGTTTCAGTCTGTGACTCCCTCTCTCTCTGACCCTCCCCTGCTCACGCTGTCTCTCTCTCTCTCTCTCTCCTAGAAATAAATAAAACATTAAAAAAAAAAAATTAAAAAAATAAAAAAATAAAAAGCATATTAATCAGGGGCGCCTGGGTGGCTTAGTTGGTTAAGCGTCCGACTTTCGCTTAGGTCATGATCTCGCGGTTCGTGGGTTCGGGCCCCGCGTCGGGCTCTGTGCTGACTGCCAGCTCAGAGCCTGGAGCCTGTTTCAGTCTGTGACTCCCTCTCTCTCTGACCCTCCCCTGCTCACGCTGTCTCTCTCTCTCTCTCTCTCTCCCCTAGAAATAAATAAAAAACATAAAAAAAATTAAAAAAAACATAAATAAAATTAATTAATTTATTATTATTTTTGAAAGTTTATTTTGAGAAAGAAAGAGGATGAGTTGGGGGGGTACAGAGAAGGAGGTGGGTACACAGGATCAGAAATAGGCTCTGTGCTGATAGCAGCGAGCCTGATGTGGGGCTTGAACTCATGAATGGTGGGATTATGACTGAGCCGAAGTCTGCCACTTAACCAGCTGAGCCACCTAGATTCCCCCTATTTATTTAAGTAGGCTCTGTGCCCAATGTGGGGCCTGAACTTATGACCCTGAGATCAGGAGTCTCCTGCTCTACCAACTGAGCCAGCCATGGGCCCCCACTTTGTTCTGGCTTTTAATAATAGCTCCATACAGATCTGTTAACAATCTTCTTTTTCATTTTTGTAGTGTTGAGTGTTTTACCAGATTCCTAGTTCAACGGTACTCTCGTGTCAATAAAGCAAAGTCCACAGGTGAGTAGATTTTCATTTGTTTGGTTGTGGGAGGGGCTCATGGCCCCCAACTGGTTTCTCTTTGGCATTGTAAGACCTAAAATTTCCCCTTTTGTGTTTTACCCCCTGCACCAGCCAGTTGCTCAAGGACACCTCTTGCTCATTTTGGCCATTTTCCCCCCTTCTCCCAGAACCTATTCATCTTATTTTTATTTTATTTTATCTTATTTTTTAAACTTTTTTTTTTAACGTTTATTCATTTTTGAGAGACAGAGACAGAGCACAAGTGGGGGTGGGGTAGAGAGAGAGGGAGACACAGAATCTGAAGCAGGCTCCAGGCTCTGAGCTGTCAGCACAGAGCCCGACGCGGTGCTTGAACTCACAGACCGTGAGATCATGACCTGAGCAGAAGTCAGATGCTTAACCAACTGAGCCACCCAGGTGCCCCTAAAATTGCTATACATTAAAAAAATCATTATGTAAGCACCCTCTTTCTGTCAAGTAAAGCTTTTTTTTTTTAATGTTTTTATTTATTTCTAGGAGAGAGAGAGAGAGACAGCGTGAGCAGGGGAGGGTTAGAGAGAGAGGGAGTCACAGACTGAAACAGGCTCCAGGCTCTGAGCTGGCAGTCAGCACAGAGCCCGATGCGGGGCCCGAACCCACGAACCGCGAGATCATGACCTAAGTGAAAGTCGGACGCTTAACTGACTAAGCCACCCAGGCGCCCCTGTCAAGTAAAGCTTTTAACCTGAAATTTATTTTTTCTGATACTAATATAGCCATTCTAACTTTCTTTTAGCATTTGCCTGATTTTTTCTCTATTCTTGTGGTTCCAAATTCTTCATCTCCTTCTGTTTTATGTATATCTTTTATAAATAGCATGCAGTGCTAATCTACTATTTTATAAATAGTAGATTAGTTAGAATAGAATAAATTATCTTGTGATAAATATGGTAGGCAGAATAATGCCTTCTCAAAGATGTCCACATCCCAGTTCCTGGCAACTGTGAACATTATCTTCACCCAACAAAAGGTCCTTTGCAGGGGCACCTGGGTGGTTAAGCGTCATGATCTCACAGTTCCAGTTTGAAGCTCAGAGTCAGGCTCTGCTAACAGTGTGCAGAGCCTGCTTGGGATTCTCACCCCCCCTCTCTCTAGCTGCTCTCCCCCCACTTTCTGTCTCTCTACAAATAAATAAATAGAAACTGTATTATTTTCTTTTCATTTTTAAAAAATATTTAGTTTTGAGAGAGAGAGCATGTGTGCACAAGCTGGGGAGGGGCAGAGAGAGAGGGAGAGGGAAGATGTGAGGCAGGCTCTGTGCTGACGGCAGAGAGGCCAGCTGGATACAGGTCTTGAACTCACGAACTCACGATGGCAGAGAGACCAGCTGGATACAGGTCTTGAACTCATGAACTGCAAGATCATGACCTGAGCCAAAGTCAGATGCTTAACCTACAGGGCCACCCAGGCACCCCATAAATAAAAAACTTAAAAAAAAAAAAAAAAGGTACTTTGCTGATGTGATTACATCTAGGATCTTGAGCTGAAGAGACTATCCTGGATTATCCAGGTGGGCCCAATGTCATCATAAGAGTCTTTAAAAGTGGAAGTGGGGTCGGAGTTAGAGATGCTCTTTCTGCTGCAGTCTTTGAAGACGGAAGAGGGAGGCCATGAATCAAGGAACACAGGCCATCTCCACAAGGAATGAGACCTTCCTAACACCTTGATTTTAGCAGGGTGAGACGCACTTTGGACTTGGGACCTCCAGCACTGAAAGATAAGAGATTTGTATTGCTTTAAAGCACTAGGCTTGTGGCGATTTGTCACAGCAGCAAATAGAGATCCGATATGATAATAAGCAATTCCAAAAATCTCAGTGGCTCTCAAAAACCAAAGTTGATCTCTTGCATAAATTACGTGCCGTTTATGAGTCGGGCTTTGGATCCATTTCATGTCTTCTTTATTCCAGACTCCAGGCTGGAGAGGCTGCCCGGGGCAGATGGAAAAGAGCAAGGGCAGAATCATCCTGGGACTCTTACTGCTTCTGCTCAGATGTGGCATAAACCATTTCAGCTGAAATTCCATTAACTGAAGCAAGCCACCTGGGTAAGTATAAAATGGGGTAGGGAGTAGCATTGTCCCAGAGGAAGGACGCCTGTCTTATTGTGTAAAGACAGATGGAGTGTGAGTGGGGGAGGGGCAGAGAGAGAGGGAGACACAGAATCTGAAGCAGGCTCCAGGCTCCATCCATGCTGTCAGCATAGAGCCTGACGTGAGGCTCAAACCCATGCACTGTGAGATCATGACCTGAGCTGAAGTCAGATGCTTAACTGCCTGAGCCACTCAGGCGCCCTCAAAAAGGACTATTTTTAAAGATTTATTTTTAATGTTGTTGTTGTTTGTTTTTTTAGAGAGAAATACAGAGCATGAGCAGGGGAGGGGCTGAGAGAGAAGGAAACACAGAATCCAAAGGAGGCTCCAGGCTCTAAGCCGTCAGCACAGAGCCCAATGCGGGGCTTGAACCCACAAACTGCGAGATCATGACCTGAGCCGAAGTCAGCTGCTTAACCGACTGAGCCACCCAGGCGCCCCTAAAATGGCTATTTTTAAAAGATCATTGCAGCTCTAGAGAAGGTCAAGAGCACAGAGAGTCAGAGACTCTTCAGGAGGCCACTGGGGTAGTCAGGCCAGAGGTGATGCCCGGGGAGGCAGTGGGGAGGAGAGGTGGGCATGAATTAGGGAGAGATTTTTGAGCTGGAATCCACAGTATGTAGCGACGCATTGGATGTTAGGGGTGACAAAGAAAGTAGAAGTCCTTTCAAATTCTTGCCTACCAAGAACACTGCCCAGCAAGGGGAATGAACAAGTGGCTTGAGGGATTCTTACCCTAAAGTAGACCTACTGTGTGCTTCCATGTACATCAGGTTAAAAACAGACAAAATTAAAAACTAACCTATGAGGACAGAGTCCAGAATAGTGATTAGCTTTGGGGGAGACGGAGAGAGAGGGGACACCAGAGACGGAGCAGGGCACGTGCGGCCGCTGCTGGCTACCCAGGTGTGTTCTGAAAATTCATCCAGTTACTCATTTCTGTTCTGTGCACTTTTCTATGCGGCTGCTGTGCTGCAATAAAATATTACATAAATAAATAAAAATAAATACAAAGTATAAAATAAAGCCTAAAAAATAAAAACAAACGACTTCTAGTTTTTTGTTGTTGCTATGTTAATTTAATTTAATATTAAGGTTTACTTATTTTACTTTGAGGGAGACGGAGAGTACGCGCAAGTGAGGGAGGGGCGGAAAGAAGCAGAGACAGAATCCCAAGCAGGCTCCGCACCATCAGGGCTGAGCCCAGTGTGGGACTCGAACTCCCAAACTGTGAGATCATGACTCAAGTGGAGGGCAAGAGGCAGATGCTTTACCAACTGAGCCACCCAAGTGCCCTTGTTGCTATGTTTATTTTATATTAAAAATGTTTTTTAGAGTTTTATTTACTTATTTTGGCAGAGAGGGAGAGAGCATGAGCAGGGAGGCACAGTGAGAGGGAGAGAGAATCCCAGGCAGGCTCTGTGCTGTCTGCGTGGAGCCTGACGCGGGTGACACAGGGCTTGAACTCACCAACCAAACGGTGAGATCATGACCTGAGCTGAAATCAAGAGTCAGATGCTCAAACGACTGAGCCATCCAGGTGTCCCTATTGCTATGTTAACTTTAACCAACTATTGGTAAGTAAATGTTGGGAAACCAAGGAAGGGACAGGTTCATGGAGGGCAGATGATGAGAAAATAGAGATGTCCAAGATGTCCAAGTGTGGATTTGGAGGAGTGTCAGGGCTGGGAAGAACCTTTGGAGCCTCTGGAAGGATTTATCGCTGGTGGAATAACTAAAGCAATTCAGGGAGCAAATCGGGGAGCAGGTGCCAAGGAAAGGGGCCCAGAATCAGGCCTGGATGTTTGGCCATCCTCTGCCTCTTGGATCGGTGTTCCACGGTAACCCTCTGGGCATGCGCACGAGGGGCCCATCGCCAGCTCCTACCATCCCTGTCAGCCCCTGCGGCTCTGCCCCAGCCAGCCTCCTACACATCTACCCAGGGCTGCTTCAACCCCGAGCCTCTGGCTTTTTCTTCTTGGCTGCCTCTCTCCTCTCTGGCTTTTGTCTCCCTAGGGGGCTTCTTGAGACCCTTGGTGGGAGAATCTCTACCTTTGAAATTCTACAATCTGGTTTAAAAAATTGATAACTGAACATCATTATAATGGAAAAGGTATTCTATAAAAGACAATGTCCAGAGAGGGGAAAAGATGAGCTACAGTTTGGGAGAGAATATTTTCAAATCATCGATCTGACAAAAGCTTGTATCTAGAATATGTAAAGAACCCTCTAAACTTGATGGTCGGAGGGGCACTTGGGTGGCTCAGTCTGTTAAGCGTCCAACTCTTGATTTCAGCTTGGGTCATGATCTCACGGTTCATGAGTTCAAGCCCCACATTGGGCTCTGAGCTGACAGCATAGAGCCTATTTGGGCTTTTCTCTCTCCCTCTTTCTCTGCCTCTCCCACACTCGTGCACCCCCCCAATAAATAAATAAACATTAAATAAAAATAAACTCGACAGTAAGAAAACAAACAATCCAGTTAACAGGCAACAGACTGGAACAGACACTTCGTGTCCTGGGGCTGCCATATGACAAAGTACCACAGACTGGGGGGCTTCGGAGAGACAGCTGGAGGCTAGAAGTCCAAATTCAAGGTGCTAAGGGGCCATGCCCTCTCTCTGGTGGGTGCCGGCCATCTCTGGTGTTCTTTGGCTGGCCGCCATAACATGCCAATCTCTGCTTCTGTTGTGACATGGCTGTCTTCCCTCTGAGTGTCTGTCATCACCTGGTGTGCTCCTCTGGGTATCCGTCTGTGTCTCTTCTTCTAAGGACGCCAGTCATACTGGACTAGGACACACCCTAATCGACTATGACCTCATCTTAACTCCGAGAGCCTATTTCCAAACAACGTCACATTCACAGGAAATGATGGAGGAGGGGGGAGGGGCGCGGTGACGACAATATGTCCTTTGGGGGCAGCCACTCAGTTCACAACAGAAAATAAGCACATGAAAAGGTGTTCAGTATCATTAGCCAATAGGGAAATGCAAATCGAAACCACGCGACTAAGGAAACCAAATAAGAAGGAAGTGTAGACACAGAAGTGTATAACACATTACACACAGAGTTCCAGTGAAGATTGCTTAATTAACATGTGTTGCTTATCAAAGGTTTCTATGTGGATGATGTCAGATGTTACCAAAAAAAAAAAAAAATGATGAAGAAGGTACATATTCATGTGCATGTGGAAATAACTAGGAAAGGGTGCAAAAAAAAAAGAAAAAACCCCCACAGGACTAAAAGAAAGAATACTGGTAATTCCAAAACTGTCTCGGAAAAGCAGCCACTCTGAAAAACAGTCTGGAGCTCTCTCGTAAAGTTATACATTTACCATATGACTCCTCTCAGGTGTTGGCTAGAGAGAGAAAAACCTGGGTCCATGTAAAATCCCGTACACAAAATTCATAGCATCTGTATTTGTAAAGGCCCATCCGGGAGATAACCCATTCCACTCAGTTGAATACTAGATGGTAATAGAAACACTTGGGAATAAAAAGGAAGGAACCGTTGATTCCTGCAACAGCCTGGATGGGTCTTGAGGGCATTATGTTGAGTGAAAAAGCCAGTTTCAGAAGGTCACATACAATATGATTCCAATTATGTAATGGTCTTTAAAAAAATTTTTTTTAATGTTTACTTATTTTTGAGCGAGAAAGAGAATGCAAGTAGGGGAGGGGCAGAAGGAGAGGGAGACACAGAATCCGAAGCAGGCTCCACGCTCTGAGCCCGCAGAGAGCCTGACACGGGGCTTAAACCCACGAGTTGCGAGATCATGACCTGAGTGCCACCCAGGCACCCCCAATCATGTAATGTTCTTAATAGGATTAGTTGCAGAGACGGAGCACAGATTACTGGTTACCAGAGGCAGGGGGTAGGAAGGAGGGGGTGACTCTAAAGGAGTCAGGAGGGGGTTCCTTTGGCGATGGAATTGTTCAGTATCCTGTTGGGAGGTGGGATATACACCATTCCGTGCGTGTAATAACATTTATAGAACCGGACATAAAAAAAAAAAATCAAAAAGTGAGTGCTTGTAAAAACTGATGAAATCCGAATAACATGCATTGTTTTGTTGTGCCGATGTCAATTTCCTGGTTCTAACTGGTCTCTGGTTTTGTAAGATGTTACCCTTGGGGGAAGCTGGGTGAAGGGGACACAAAAACAAACAAAAGAGGAGAGATCACAACCAACACCACAGAAATCCAAACAAGAATAAGAGAATTTCATGAGCCATTCTCTGCCAACAAATTGGGCGATCTGGAAGAAATGGACCAATTCCTAGAAACATATAAATTACCAGAACTGAAACAGGAAGAAACAGAAAATTTGGACAGACCTCTCACCAGTAAAGAAATTGAATCAGTAATCACAAGCCTCCCAATGAGCAAGAGCCCAGGACCCGATGGCCCTCCAGGGGAAACCAACCAAACATTTAAAGAAGAATTAACACCCATTGTTTTGAAGCTCTTCCAAAAAAATGCAAATGGAAGGAAAACTTCCAAACTCATTCTCTGAGGCCAGCATTACCTTGATTCCAAAACCAGACAAAGAGCCCACTTTCCATACTTCTTAGGCAACATCTGTGTGAGTCTAAATTCTTTCAAAATAAAAAGTGAAAAAACAAATTCTCCACAGTGTGGAGGGTCAGACGCCCAAGGCTGCCATGGAAGGGAACGACCTTGAAGCCCACCCACAAGCTGTTTTATACCAACCTACCAAGGGGGGAAAGGTAAAAAATACAGCTGCTCAGAGGGATTCATCCATCCATCCATTCATTAATTCATTCATTCTGAACACCTCCTCTGTGTTGGGCTCTGTCCAGAAACAGCACTAGACCAGACAGCCAAGCTCCCTGACTTATGCTTCAGCGTGGGTCCTGGGCCAGACAGCCAGGTTGAAATGTGGCCCTTCACTCACTAGCAGCGTGGCCTTCAGTGAGTTACTTAGCCTCTCAGAGACAACCCAATCTCTGTGGTTTAGTTGTTGTAGTTTTCGTTTGTAAAATGAGGCTATTAATATCCACTTCATGGCGAGGTTGTGAGGAACGCATGAGCTGATTCAACTATGGCCTCTTTAGTGACATGTTTAGGGGGCTTGCTATGGAGACCATGGGGTTTACAGCTTCCTTTCTCGGGGGAGGGGGGGCAAGGACAAATATACAAGGGGAAACACACACACACATGCACACACACACACACACACTCACACAGGGTGGCCTGATGGAGATCCAATATTCAGGAAAAGCCTCAGCAGCCTCAAGGGAGCATGGGAGGTCGCCACAAGAAGAGCATGAAACCCACAGAGACCAGAAACACAGAGACACAAGACCCAACGAAAGGACTCAGACCAGAGAGACTGAGAGACCAAGAAATGGAAAGATTCAGAGACACTCATAGAGACTCAGAAACCCAGAGATTCTAAGACACCCAGAAACCAAAGGATGTCCTGAGACCCAGAGTGACCAAGAGATTGAGAGACACATATAGAGACCTAGAGACTGAGAGACATGCAGCGACCCAGAGAGACAAAGACAGCCAGAGAGAGCCAAAAACACCCAGAGCATCAAAGAGACCCGCAGATGCAGAGAGGCCAAAGGAATCAGAGGTATCGGAGACCTGACAGAGATACAGAGACCTGGAGACCCAAAGAGATCCAGAGAGACCTGCAGAGATCCAGAGATACCAAGAAGCTCTGAGACATAGAGAGGCCAAGAGACCCCAAAACATCCAGATACCCAGAAACTTGGAGAGATTGAGAGACAGCAAAGAGATCAAGAGATTAAGCAACTCAGAAACAAGAGACCAGAGACACAGAACAGGAGGGGCAGTCCCTAGGGATGGAAATTCACACAGGCAGCCAGGGTCAAAGCCTGAGCCTGTGAGCAAAAGCAGAGATGGCTGCCATGTGTCCAACCAGTGGTGAGCAGCTGGGTCACAGGAAGGAGCCTACATCTGGGGTCCGGGGACCTGGGCTCCAAACCTGGTCCTGTGCTCCCCACCCACGTGGCCCAGCCACGTTTCCTTCATCTTTCATTCAAACGTCACAGGTCGAGGCCCTGAGCCTCAGTTTACTATCTGAAAAATGGCAACGAGAACCACAAAACCTACTTTCCAGGGCCAGGTGCATTGGTCACATGACTTGAGCCCACTTCCGTTGTCACCAGTGGTAGGACTTGGAGCATAAATGATTCAACTTTCTGGCCTCCATTTCTATTAAAATATGTATTTTATTTTTTACTTATGTTTTTAAGTTTATTTATTTATTTTGAGAGAGAGAGAGAGAAGCAGGGGAGAGGCAGAAAGAGAGGGAGAGAGAGAATCCCAAGTAGGCTACGTGCTGTCAGCACACAACCTGATGCGGGCCTTGATCTCACAAACCATGAGATCGAAACCTGAGCTGAACTCCAGAGCCAGCTGCTTAACTGACTGAGCCACCCAGGCACCCCTAAAATCTGCATTTTAAAAGTCACCTGTCACCACGTCACACCTACTAGGATGCTTACTATCGACAAAACAGAAAATAACAAGTGCTGGCAAGAATGCGGAGAAGTTGGGACCCTCGTGCTCTGCTTGTGGGAATTAAAATGGTGCGATCACTGTGGAAAACGGTGGAGGTTTCCTCAAAAGATTAAAAACAGAATTAGCCTCCGATACAGCAATTCCATTTCCGGGCGTGTACCTCAAAGAACTGAAAGCACGGTCTTGAGATATTTGTACGCCTATGTTCATAGTGGCCTTACTCACAATAGCCAAGATATGGAAGCAGCCTGAGTATCCATCAATGGATAAAGGGATAAGCAAACTGTGGTGGATACATGGAATGGAATATTATTCAGCCTTAAACAGGAAGGCCATCCTGACACATGCTAGGGCATGGATGAACCTCGCAGACGTGCTAAGTGAAATAAGCCCGTCACAGAAAAGACAACTCCTGTGTGATTCCACTTGCAAAAGATCTCTAGAGTACCTGAAGTCACAGACACAGAAAGTAAAATGGTGGTTGCCATGGACTAGGGGAAGGGACATTGGGAGTCACTGCTTAAAGGCACAGGCGTCCAGTTTTGCAAATGGATGTTGGTGATGGTTTTGCACAACGCTCTGTATGTACTTAACCTACCGAACTCAAAATGGCTACGATAGTAGATTTCACCTTACGTGTATTTTACCACGGTTAAAAAAAAAAATCGGGAAAAAAAGTGTCACCTGTCAAATGTGGAAAGAAGTGCAGGTGCTAACTGTCCCATAGGGTTGGAGAGGGAGTAAATGAACGGGTGAAGAGAAAGTCTTAAGGGCAGCTCGGGGTGGGGAGAGGGCTTGACCGTCTTTGACAAAGGCCTCCTCTCCAGGCTTGGAGCCCCTGGCCGGGCTTCCCCAGCCGCTAACGGATCTTGGGAAGGGTTTGTGGACTCTGGAAATTCTCATGCCAGGACACTCTGTTTTCTGGCTCGTAGGTTTTGAGATTCCTGGATCTGAAATAAACACAGACACAGCCCAGAGACCCAGCCCCGGCAAGGCACAATCAGTGAATGGTGCCCAGGCCTCATTTCCGGGCCCCGCATCTTGGTTGGCTCCATCTTCATAAAGAGGTGGGGAGGGGGCCGTGTCGCTTATTCAGGCCCTGGGGTCCCGCCGGCCTGCCTTTGCCCCTCTTGAAGGTGGTGAAGCTTGGGAGAAGCTCTTACCTTGGGGAGCCGCAGCTGGGAGGCGAACGTGGAGACCAAGCTCCCTCCAGATAGAGGGAATGGTGAAGGCCCAAAGCCACGCCCCCTCCTCAAGAAGGGGCCTGATTGGTGGAGGGCTGCGAGGGCGGGGCAGCGCCGGGGCTGTATAAATGCAGCCCCCTGGCGCCGGGTGTTATGCTGTAGGTAATTCCCTAGCTCAGGTAAGACTTCTTGGAGGAGGCTGCGCTGCGCGTGGGAGCCTAGGTGGAGGCCCCCACGTTGGCCAAGGGGTGCTGGGCGGCACCTTCTGAGCCCCGTAGTCGGCGTCTCTCCCCGTGGCTTGAAACGTTTGAGGTGGCCATCCCCTCAACTTGCTCTAAAGGCAGGTTATTTATCTAATAACATCCCCTTCCCCCCCTCCCCTCCCACCGGGCCTCAGTTTCCTCACCGCGAAGAAAGGGGTTGGTGGTCCTTCCAGGTGTGCCACTTTGGGGGTGGGGCGAAGGGGTAGTTGGGGGTAGGGGAGCAATTAAAGTCTTCCTGCTGTGGGGGTCAGAGAGGCCCCACCGTTAAGTGGCCGCGAGTCTTGCCCGCTTCCACTCCTGTTTGCAAAATGGGTATTGGGGTGTACCCACCTTCCAGGGTTTAGCATTTAGCAGCTCCAGGGGTGCCTGTCGCTGCCATTCTTGCTCTCTGGCCGGGCCTGGGGGGCCCGGACGCGGTGCAGGAGCTGCAGCAAGTCGGCTGCTTTTCTGGCCTCCTCAGCTCACATGTACCCCAGTTTCTGTCTGCTCCGAGTGCCGCCCCCATCCCTATCTCCACGCCCGACTCCCCACCTTCTGGAGGCCCCCTGTCAGGCCAGCCTCGACTCCCTCCACTGGTGGGGGGGCAAGGGGGTCAGTGCTGAGTCCCCAGGCTACTTTCTCTACAGGCCATCCTGCCCCACCCCGCCCCACCCGCCCCCACCGCCATGAGATGAGCGACACTCAGGACTTTGCCACTTTCCCCGTGGTTGCCACCCAGGTGAAGCTGGGGGGCCGGAGCAGTCAGGGTGAGGGCAGCCCGGCTCTCCACCCGCGCCCACACCAGGAGCTCCAGGTCTTCCTCAGCCTTTTGGGTGAGTTCTGCGTGGGGGAGGGGGGGTGCCGTGGGGACCCAGTATGAGCCAGTGTGAGGGGTAGGACGTCACCTGCCCCGGGCAGGCATCTGAAATCTCTGTCCCTTCCCTTCCCCGGGGGACCCCAGGGGGAAGGGAGGGGCCGTGTCAGCAGGTGGACTGGGTAGAGGCTTGGGCTCTAGAACTTCCGGTGCCACTCTTGGCTTGTGGGGGGCTGGCCGTAACCCCAGTCCGTCATTTCTCTTCTCTCCTCCAGAGCACAGTTTCCTGCAGGAATTCCTTTCCAGAGATCCCTGTTTCCAGATTTCAGATAAGGTGAGGTGACCCGGGGAGTAGAAGCCAAGAGTCACGAGCGGCTTGAATGCTGCTATTTCACGGTGTCTCCTGGTCTGATGGAGGGAGCACCTCCCTTTTAAATCCTTGTTTGTTTGTTTGTTTGTTTTTTAATTTTTGAAGTCTATTTTTGAGAGGGACAGAGAGATTGTGAACAGGGGAGGGGCAGAGAGAGAGAGAGGAGAGAGAGAATCCCAAGTGACCTCTGCGCTGACAGTGCTTGAACGCAGGGCTCGAACCCAGGAAACCGTGAGATCATCACCTGAGCTGAAATCAAGAGTTCAGATGCTTAACCAACTGAGCCACCCAGGCGCCCCTAAATCCTTGTTTTCACCCCACGGCTCCCCCTGGGTTCTCTAACCCGCATCACGGCTTCCTTGGGTGCAAATGGGCCCCGCATGGCGCCCTCTCCCTGTGCCTAGCTGTCACCTCTGCCCCGCTCTGTTTCTGCAGTATCTCCTGGCCATGGTGCTGGTCTACTTCCGGCGCGCCAACCTGAAGCTCAGCGAGTACACCCACAGCAACTTGTTCTTGGCACTGTGAGTGGCCAGGGCAGGGGGTGGGCGCCCCTGCTAGGAGTTGGGGGGGGCAGGGCCGGTGCTTACTTCTGCTTTCTGCCCCCCCACCCCCACCCCGCCTCCGAGGCCAGTTTTCTTGCAAATGACATGGAGGAAGATCTGGAGGACCCTAAATGTGTGATTTTTCTGTGGGCCCTGGGAAAAGACTGGCGTTGTCGGGTGGCAGACTTCCTGCATCAGAGGGATAAGCTGTGGGCCCGGATGGGCTTCCGGGCCATGGTGAGCCGCCAGTGCTGCGAGGAGGTGAGGCCCCACCATTATCGTGGGGTGTGGGAACAAGGCCGGATCTCCCCCCCCCCCCATTTACACTCCGCTCTCCTCACGCCAGGTCATGGCCAAGGAGCCGTCCCATTGGGCCTGGACTCGAGAGCGGCGTCCCCACCACGGAGGGGCTCGGAGGGGCTGCCCAAAGGCCCGGGTGCCCCTGCCTGGAGGCCCCGGCCTCTCGCCTCCTCACTGTTCCCTCTGTGGTTTGCTCCCTGCCCGCAGCCCCTGCGGCCACCAGCCCCGCCCCTTGCCTATCTTATCCAAGTGTCCTTCCCCGAACCCTGAGTGCCATTGCCCCCCCTCCCAAGCGTGTCTCTCAGTGGCTGAAGAGCCCTTGATGGGGGGCTTCCTCATCATCCTGCCCTCTAAAGTGCAGCTGCAGCCAGGCACCTATACTCTCCACGGTGAGTTGGGGGCAGGAGCTGGGGGTGGGCGTGGGAGCCTGGGAGGCAGACGTGGGGCCCAACAGAACAGGAAGTAGTGGCACACGTCGCAGCTCTGCCACCGCCTAGCTGGGCGTGCTTCATCAGCTTCCTCTCTGAGCCTCTCCCTCACCTTTCTCCCCAGTCCTCCCAAAGCCTCCACTGTGCCCTAGGCGCTGACATTCCCAGGGTGAAGAGCAGCGCACCTGCTTGTCTGCTGACCCGAGCCCTCCTGGCTATGCCCTCCCCCTCCCCCCCTCCCCAGGCCTTCTGTCTTATCAGCCTCAGGCTGGCAGTGCTGCCCAGGCCTCCCCAGTCCCCTCCTCCCAACTGTACCCACTCTGACCCTGGCCCCTCTAATAAACTCGTGTCTACGGGACACCGACTATGCTTCGGCCCTGGCCCGGCTCCTTGACCCAGGGTAGGGGTAGGGAGGGAATTGGGGGGGGGGTCTGCCCACTTTAGGTAACAGTGATTGAGACTCGTGAGTAGAGGCTCTGTAATAACAATTTTCCTTTCCATTGATGACCGGTCATCCTGAGCCTCGGTTTCCCCTCTGTAATGTCACCTATGCATGATGAAATCTACACACAGCGTAGATAGGGTTGACTAAGAGGAAAGTATATTTAGCCCTCACAGGAGGCCCTGGGCCCCAGAGGACGAAAGAAAGCCGAAATGGAGAAACACTCCATAGCTCAGACGTGGCGGCAGGGCCTGGGATGTTTAGGAATAAGACTTGGCCCCTGCCCTGGGCTGCAGTCAAATATCATGTAATTATTATAATATATCTGTCCCCCTGTCCCCCAAAGTAGACTTGTTAATGAGGGAGCAGAGAAGGCTTTCCAGGGAAGGTGGCATTTGAACTGGACCTTGAACAATGTCAAGTTCGCCCACGAAGGGGCAGAGATTGGGAGGTCGGATATTCTTGGACAGTCTAGAGTCGAGATGAAGACTTGGTCTTTGATGCCAGACAGCTTAAATCCACATCCCAGGTTCCTATGTGACCTTGGCATGTTACTTAATTTCCATTGCCTCATCCGCAAACTGGGTATTGCTCTAAAAATGGGTGTTGTGGGAGGTTTGAATTGCATTAATCCCAGAGGGTGTCAAGGTGTCTCAGGAACAGAGGTAGGGGGCGCCTGGGGTGGCTCAGTCCGTCAGGTGTCCAGACTCATCTTGGCTCAGGTCTCGATCCTAGGGTCTCTTAAGGTTGTGAGTTCAACCTCAGGGTTGTGAGTTGGGGTTCATGCTGGTCCGGAAGCCTACTCAAAAAAAAAGAAAAAAAGAAAAAAGAAAAGAAAGGAACAGAGCCCAGATGCAAGCCCCAGGTGTTGCTAGTAGAGGGAATGGCTGCTTAGGGGAAAGTCTGGAGGGGAAGAGATGTTTGGGGAGCCGCTGGAACAGAAGCTGGAAAGGTCCATGAGGGTCAAACAGGAGAATCTGGACACTATTACCTTGCATGCTCCGAGTGGCTCCCAAAAAGTATAGAAGTAAGAAAGCCTGGAGCCTGAGGACATTAGAAGCCAAGATGATGGCTACAAAGTATTTTTAATTTGTTTTTCAAGTAAGTAACATATGCACAAGTACCTTTTAAATTCTGAACCACGAGTCACTTCCTACCCCTGGCTCCTCTCCCTGGAAGCGATAAAACTAACAGTTTATGTCCTTCCAGAGACAGAATATAAACCTACGTAACCAAACGTGGTGTAATAAAAAAAAATATATATATATACATATATATATATTTGGTCTTTGTCCCTGGTTCCTGGCACAGAGTTCCTAAAACCTTACAATGTTCTGAGTCATAGGAGTGTGTTATTCACCCTGAGCCCCTTTGGGCCACACCTGAATTTGTGTTAATGAGGCAACTCAGGGTGGGGCCCCTACTTAGCTTCAGAGTGGGGGCTGGTCACCAGAAAGGCCAGGCAAGAGTGGGGAACTGGGGGAGAGGGGAGGACTGGGAATTGGAGCATCTCTGGGTTGGTGAACAGAGATGTGCTAGGAGGGTGGCCCGCCTAGAGAGGGCACGGAAGCTCTTCCCCCCTCCCCGCCATACCTTGGCCTATGCACCTCTTCTCTCTGGCTGCTTCAGAGTTGTATCCTTTACTTTTATTTATTTTTTAAATTTCTTTTTAATGTTTATTTTATTTTTGAGAAAGAGAGAGACACAACATGAGCGGGGGAGGGGCAAAGAGAGAGGGAGACACAGAATCCGAAGCAGGCTTCCAGGCTCTGAGTTGTCAGCACAGAGCCTGACACGGGGCTCGAACCCACGACCTGTGAGATCGTGAATTGAGCCGAAGTCGGACACTCAACCGAGTCACCCCGACGCCCCTAGAGTTGTATCCTTTAAAAAAAAAAAAAAAAAAAAAACTGGTATGGAAAGCATTTTATTGAGGTCTGTGAGTCTCCTACCAAGTCATCCAAGCTGGGAAAGGGTTTGTGGGCACCCCAGATTTGTAGTAGGCCAGACGGGCACGTGGGGTCACCATTTGTGACTGGCGTCTCGTGGGACTGAACCCTTAACCTACAGGATCTGTGCTAACTGGGAATTGATGTCAGAGCTGAACTGAACTGTAGGCACCTAGTTGGTTGTTGGGGAGTTGGGAGAATTGGTGTGGAAAAGTCACATGTATTTGGTATCCGGGAAGAAACACATTTGATGTAAGAAGTGGTGTCAAAAAAAAAGACACCACACCAAATATGCCTATATGTCCCATCTCAGCCTCCCCCCCCCACCCTTAAAAACTCAAAGGGAAGAATTCCATGCATCCTGTTGTGGGCTTATCAATATATTTTGAAGATGGTTCCTTATCCATATGTTCCTTTTGACGGCTTTATAGCATTCCTCTTCATGAATGGACCAAGATGTAACTTGCTCCTTATTGATTGACATTTGTTTCCAGAGTTCTGGTCTTCCAAACAGTATTACGGAGAGTCACTAAGACTTTGTAAGGCTATCATTGTTCAGAAGTAAAAAAAGATCTGTACTAAGAATTCCTAGAATTGCTCAAAGGCCACATGAAAATAGTCATTACAATTTTTGCCAGATGCCCCTCTATAAAGGCTGTACCCATATTGACCCCCACTCCCAACAGTACATGTGAACACTCTTTTCCAGAATATTCCCCAATCAGGAACCTATCAGGTATTTTTAACTTTGGAAAATGATCTCTTGGTGAAGTTCAAATTTGCATTTATTTTTCTTTTGAGTGAGTTCAAATTCATTCATTTAAGAGCTGTTTGTCTTTGGGGGTGCCTGGGTGGCTCAGTCGGTTAAGCGTCTGACTTCAGCTCAGGTCATGATCTCACAGTTTGTGAGTTCAAGCCCTGCATCAGGCTCCGTGCTGACAGCTCAGAGCCTGGGGCCTGCTTCGGATTCTGTGTCTCCCTCTCTCTCTGCCCCTCCCCCACGCACACTCTGTCTCTTTCTAATATCTTTTAATAAAAATATCTTAGGGGTGCCTGGGTGGTTCAGTTGGTTAAGCATCCGACTTCAGCTCAGATCATGATCTCATGGTCCATGGTTTCAAGCCCCATGGCAGGCTCTGTATTGACATCTCAGAGCCTGGAGCCTGCTTCAAATTCTGTGTCTCCTTCTCTGCCCTCCCCCAACCTCGCCCTGCTTGTACTTTGTCTCTCAAATATAAATAAAGATTTAAAAAATCTTTAAAAAAAAGAGCTGTTTGTCTTCTTTTCCATGAACTCCCTTATTCTTTGCCCTTTTCTCCCATTTTCGGTTTCTGATTGACATAAAGGGATTTGCAGGAAAAATAGCCCTTCAAGATGTAAATAGTATTTCTTCCGTTTATTACTGACTTTGCTGTGTAGATTCTTTAATATAGTAAAATAAGTTTTTTGTGGCTTCTGGGGTTTTGTGTCATAGTTAAAAAGAATTTTCCACACTGAGATGACTAAAGCATCTTCTCCCTCAGCTCTTGGCTACATTTCTGTTTTCATGTTTCACTTTTAAATCTTGAGTTCATCTGGAATGTATCATATACAAAATTCCTTCCCATATTCCTAATCCCTTTTAAAAAACTCAACTTTTCTCAGCAGATTTGAACTGCTACTTTTATTATATACTAAATTCCTGTGTGCATGTGGATCTATTTCTAGATTTTTCTGTCTTCCAATGATCTATGTGTGTCAATACCCCTCTCTAATTATTACACTGAATTATTATGGGTTTATTGTGTTTTAATATCTGGTAGGGTTTGTCTCCACTGATTTCTCTTTGTTTTTGGAAATCTCCTGGTTATTCTTGTTTAATTTCCCTATCAACTTTATTTTTTTTTAATGTTTTTACATTTATTTTTGAAAGGGGAGGGGCAGAGAGAGGGAATGAGAGAATCCCAAGCAGGCTCCATTGCAGGCAGCGCAGAGCCCAACGCAGGACTCGAACCCACGAACTGTGGGATCATGACCTGAGCCAAAACCAAGAGTCCGAGGCTTAACCAACTGAGTCACCCAGGTGCCCCTTCCTGTGACCTTCCAATCAGCTTTTCTAGCCACCCCCCAATCAGAATATTAATTGTGATAAATCTACAGATTGCTTTAAGGAGAACTGACCTCTTTATGAAGTCTCTTGGTGTCCAGAATAAAGAAGTCTGTCCCCTGACTTCTGCTACTTTCAGACGGCACCAATGGCCAGTGACTCCCCAGTCTGTACCTCTATTCTGAGAGCTGTTCCCTCCTCAAGCATCTCTGCCGGAGAGGGTGTTCCCAAAGGTCTTCCACTGTCTCCCCAGTTTGGTAAGTCCCCTGCCTCATTCACCAACTTAAGTGGTCAAGCCAAATCAAGGACTCAGTGTTACCTTTGATCCTTCCCTGTGTTCAAGAGCCCTATCTAATCAGTAACTAAGTCCTATTGGAGGGTTTTTTTTTAAGATTTTTATTTTTTAAGTAATCTCTACACCCACCGTGGGGCTCAAACTTACAACCCCAAGATCAAGAGTCACATGCTCTACCAACTGAGCCAGCCGGGTGCTCCAAATCCTGTTGGTGTTTTTAACAGCTTACTGAGGTCTACTTGACATACAATAAACCACATGTACTTAAAATGTACATTTTGTCTTGACACGTATACACCCATATTACCGTAATCAAGATAACATTGATTGAACATAACCATCGCCCCAAAAAGTTTCTTCAAGTCCCTTGTCAAACCTTCCCTCCCACCCTTTCCTACCTGTCAGCCCCCACTCTTGCCTCCAGGTAACCACCGATCTGCTTTCTAGCACTAAATTGGCATCCTTTTTCTGGAATTTTCATATACGTGGAATTATATAGGAGGTACCCTTGCCTGGCTTCTTACATTTGTTGTAATTATTCTGAGATTCATCTCTTGTCCCTTTTTATGTCCGGGTGGTATCCTGCTGTGTATGTATATACCACAATTTGCTTATCCATTCGCAAGGCGTGGATGAAGTTTTGATTGGATCTAGTTTGGGCTGCCACAGTTACAATTTCTATGAATAGCTTTCAGCTCTCTTGCTCTGAGGCGGGCCCAGCACAATCATCTCTGCTAGTTGCGAATCTGGTTTCATCTGGCACCAGCCACCGCTGCCATCCTGCTCACATCTGACCCCAAGAAGATCAAAATTGTATATCTAAAATGCACTGGCAGGGAGGTCGGTGCCGTGTCTCCCTGGGCCCCCAAGACTGGCCTCTTGGGTCTGTCCCCCAAGAAGATTGGTGATGACCTTTCCAAAAGCAACTGGTGATCACAAGGGCAGAGGATGAACAGACAGGCTGGCATACGGGTGGTGCCTTCCGCCTCTGCCCTGATCACCAAAACCCTCAAGAAACCACCCAGAGACAGAGGCAGAGAAACAGTAAGCACGGTGGAAACATCACTTTTGATAATATCGTCAACAGTACGGGACAGATACCGCACCGATCTTTAACTAGAGCGCTTGAAGCCCACTAGAGAGATCATGGGGATTGCCCCGTCTGTGGGATGCAGTATTCATGGCTGTCACCCTCATGACACCGTAGATGTCAGCAGTGGTGCATGTCAGCAGTGGTGCCGTGGAATGCCCAGCTACAAAGGAAAAGATTTCAAGAAAAGATCATTTGATTACCCACCCCCCACCCCCCGCCGGCAAAGCTGTGACTATTCTTATACAAGTCTTTGTGTGGACATAGGCTTTTATTTCTCTTGGGTAAATACCTAGGAGTGGAATAATGGGTCATATATGGTAGATGTGTGTTTAACCTTTTTCTCTTTTTAAGATAGACTTTTTTAGAGCAGTTTTCGGTTTACAGAGAAATGGCTTTTTAAATACAGAGAATTGGGCACACCCTCCCCTTTCTCCTCACATTCTTTCTCATTAACATCTTGCATTCCTGTGGTATACTTGTGGCAGTTGATGAACCAATATTGATACAATATTATTATTTACTGAAGCCTATAGTTTACATTAGGGTTTACGCTCAGGGCTGTGCATTCTATGCTTTTGACAAATGTATCATGTCATGTATCCACCATTCTAGTATCATACAGAAGTTTCAGGGCCCTAAAAATGTCTTGTGTTTCATCTACTATCCCTCCCCTCCTCCACCAAACTCCTGGCAACAACTGATCTTTTTTTTTTTTACTATCTCTAGTTTTGCCTTTTACAGAATGTTATATAGTTGGAATCATGCACTACAGTTTTTTTTATGTCTTCTTTTTTAAACATTTATTTTGGGGGCGGGGGCAGAGAGTGAAGGAGAGAGAGAATCCCAAACAGGCTCTGCACTGTCAGCACAGAGCTGGATGTGGGGCTCAAACTCAGGAACCCATGAGATTCAGAGTCAGACACTCAGCTGACTGGGCCACCCAGGGGCCGTGTTCTTTTACTGAGCAATAGGCATTTCTTTACTTAAAGTTTATTTATTCCTTTTGAGAGAGAGAGGGGAGAGAGCGTGCCCTAGAGCAGGTGCACACGAGTGGGATAGGAGCAGAGAGAGAGAGAGAGAGAGAGAGAGAGAGAGAGAGAGAGATCCCAATCAGGCTCTGTGCTGTCAGCGCAGACCCCTACGTGGGGCTCCATCCCCCAGACTGTGAGATCCTGACCCGAGCGCAAATCAGGGTTGGAGGGGGTAAGAGAGGAAGCAGGGAGTGCAGATAATAAAACCAGGGCCCCTGGTGGCTCAAACTAGGGACCGGTAAGTTCAAGAGAGAAGTAGATGGATCTGATAACTATTAGGAAACGTCGTATCAAAATCTAAGTCAGACTGGATGGTGCACCTAAATATAACCCCTAAATCTATAAATAGGCACAGTGTTGCGTGGGCAGAGAGGTAGGGCAGCGCTAGGTGAACCACGAGAGTTTCTGGTGTATTCTCCTCGGGTAGAAGATCGCTCAGATTTGTACATATGCAGGAGGCCGCAAGGGAGTGGGATGGAGGGGGCAGGAGGGGGCAGTGAAAGGCCCTGAGCTGGGGGAACGCCGCGACCCCTCCTCCCTCGGTCTCCTGGGTTCTCGCGCTCCCCCACCCTCTCCCCCCGGCGCAGCCCTGCAGGCGGGAGGCCGGATCTCTCGGTCCGGGGTGGGCCTGCCGACCTGCTCGCGGCCTCTGCCGCCCCCTCCTGGGCGACGCGAAACAAGGGCGCTCCCAGGTGGGTGGGCCGAGGGCCCGGGGGCGAGGGCAGGGAGGCCCACCTGTCTCAGGGTCCGAGCTCAAGAAGCCCCAGAGCGCAAGAGAAAGATGGGTCCCCGCAGTTGCTCACCTCCGTGCCCTTCGGGGCGCAAACGGGAAACCGAGGCCGAGAGGGGCAGGGACTCGCCCAGGGTCGCGCGGCGAGCCGGGGCCCCGGGTGGGGGACGCGCCGAGCCGCAGAGGATGGGGTGGGGGCGCCGGGGCGGGGTGGCCGACCGGACCCGGGAGCCGGGCTGCGGCGGGGCCCCCGCGGTCGTGGCCGAGCGTCCCGCAGGGGTGCGCCCGGCCGGGCCCCTCCTGCGAGCGGCTGCCGCAGCCTGAGGTAATCTCGGCTCCGCGCTGGGGACGCGCAGGGGCGGGGCGGGGCGCGGCGAGGTGCGGCCCCCCGGGGGGCCGGGGGCTGGGGGGCCGGCCCGGGGTGGCTCGAGCGGCCGGGAATGCCCTCCGGGGGCGCCACGTGGGGTGGGGCCGCCCGGCCCTGCAACCCGAGCAGCTGCCCCGGGTTAAAAATACCCCCGGCCCTGCCCTCTCTGCACCCCTCCCCTCCCTTCTCCTCCCCTCCTCCTCCCCCGCAGTGCCCTTCCGTCTGGGCCCCGGCGGCCCCTCCCGGGGGACAACTCCGCCTTTTACTAATTCGTCCTCTCGCGGAGCTGGCCGCGGCGGGAGGGGCGGGGAGACGCCGCTAGAGAGACAGTCACTGAAGGTGGCGGAGAGGTAAAGGAGAGCGGAGAGGAAGCCGGGGTCGGAGCCCGGGAGGGGAAGGGGAAGGGGGCGGAGGGAGGGGGAGAGGAGGGCGGAGGAGCCGCAGGAGGAGGGCGGGGAGGAGCGCTCTTCCTGGTTGGGCCCTGCCCCGAGCCTCCACCCGGGAAGGCAGCCGCAGGGACCGCTGCGATCCCCCAAACACTGCTCCCCCAGGTAAGGAGCGGGGGGGGGGGGCGGGCCAGGATTCCCCGACCCCCGGCCACTGCTCCCGGCTGAGGGGCTGCCCCTGCCCCGGGCCTTCTGCGTGCCTGGGACAGGGGCGGGGACTGGGGAAAGCGGCACAGCCCCGGCCACTGGCCCAGCCTGCGCTCATCACTGTCTCCAGGGTCTGGGCTGGGGAAGGGCCAGAGGGGAAGGGGCTGAGGTCCAGCAGCCCTGATCACCCAGCCCGATTCAGGGGTCTGGGGAAGGGGTCCCTGGCTGCCTGCGGTTCTCAGCCTCCAAGCCAGGGAAAGGGGCCAGCGCCTAGGAGCTTGGCTAACTTTGGGGAGGGGATGACTGTTGTGATCTCCAGGCTCTGCCCTGCCCCACCTGGCCGGCTGGCTGGCTGACCACAGCCTTGCAGCCCCAGGACAATGGGACTCTGGGACGGGAGAGGTGGTAACATCGTGTGGGGCCTAGGGAGGTGGTGGCCAGCTTACCTCGGGGCGGAGGAGCCCCTCTCCTGGGTTCTGGGAGCACAGGGAGGTGGCAGAGAGTCCTGAGTTCTGTGAGGGGGGCAGTGAGGTGGGAAAGGGTAGGCGGCCGCAGGGAGGAGCCCCAGTTCTAGTCCTGGGAGGGCCCGGCTCTGAGCAGGCTGGTGCGTCCTGCAGGATGGCCGAGGAAATCATCACGCCAGTGTACTGCACGGGGGTGTCTGCACAAGTGCAGAAGCAACGGGCCAAGGAGCTGGGCCTCGGCCGCCATGAAAACGCCATCAAGTACATGGGCCAGGATTATGAGCAGCTGCGGGCTCATTGCCTGCAGAGTGGGGTCCTCTTCCGTGATGAGGCCTTCCCCCCGGTGCCCCAGAGCCTAGGCTACAAGGATCTGGGCCCCAACTCCTCCAAAACCTATGGCATCAAGTGGAAGCGCCCCACGGTGAGAGGGGCCACCCTGGGTGGGGCTCAGTTTACCCTCATCCTGGGTGAGGCGTGGGAACAGGACTCCAGGTCCTTGGTGGGGAGTGGGGTCTGGGGTTGGCTGGCTTCCAGTGTCCAGAAGGGCCGGCCCGGCGACGGGACTCCGGGTCTCTTTGCAGGAGCTGCTCTCAAACCCCCAGTTCATTGTGGATGGAGCCACCCGCACAGACATCTGCCAGGGAGCACTGGGTAGGCCCTGGGGGGGGGGGGGGGAGGGTGTTCTGGGTGTTTTTTCCATAATAGTTCCCCGTGCCTGTGCCTTCCGGCTCTGCCCTAACCCCTCCCTCCTGCAAGCTCAGGCAGGCTCTGGCTATCAGTGCCGGGCTGGTTTGCCTAGATTCCTGGGTCTTTTCTGTAAGCCAAGGGACACGGCACCCAGGGAATCCCAGGTTCTCCCCAGCATGGGCACTGCATCACTGGGAGCAGATTGGCAGAGCAGGCCTGATGTGGGTCCCTCCGTTCCCAGGGGACTGTTGGCTTCTGGCTGCCATTGCCTCCCTCACCCTCAATGACACGCTTCTGCATCGGGTGGTCCCACATGGCCAAAGCTTCCAGAATGGTTATGCCGGCATCTTTCATTTCCAGGTGAGGAGCCCTGAATCCACCTGGGACCAGGGCGTGGGGGAAGGAGGGGCAGCAGGCACCGGGGGAGGTGAGGGCCAATGACCCACGGCGGTCTGAAGTTAGGTGGCTTAAGTCCACACCCTATGGGGGCCAGTTCTTCCTCTAGAAAGAATTCGACCGCTTGATACCATCTCAGATCTGTCATGTGTGAAACGGTTGGGCAGGGCAGGTATTTCAGCTGGCAGTTTTCCTGTGCGTGTCACGGAGAAAATGCTTGGAGGAATAGAAAGAACTCTGTGTTATTGCCTGGGGGACAAATCCTTTTTCTCCATGGGGTCTCAGTTTCCCCATCTGAAAAGTAAGTAACGTTCCACTGGGGAGAACAGACCAGCACATGTGGCCATCCCCACCCAAGATGTAATTGTCCCCCCACCCCACCCCCGCCTCCAACTCCTCTTGTGACTTCGGCAGCCTCTAGCCTCTGACAGAGCCCTGCAGAAAAGAAAGACAGGATTTAAGTCTGTTTAAACCAGCTATTCCCTTTTTGCACACAGGGCCCATTTCTCAAGTCACACTAAGGAATTCTCAGTGAGCTGATGTTGGGAGAGACACACCTCCAGGAACCCTGGATTAGACCCTCTGGCCTTCGTGGCCCCAGCCCTGCCCTGGGGACTCCTGGGTGCCCTCTCCCTACACCTAGTCAGGGAGTCCCTTATCCTGTTCCGTGCACACCAGCCTCCAGGACCCACGGTGCCATCTACATAGGCCAAGCGCTGCACCTGCTGCCCCAGCTGCTATGCAGGGGCGTGGCCTCGCCGCCCCTTCCTCCGCCCCCTTCCTTCGCTCCGCTAATCGGCTCCTCCTCCGCCTCTTGATTGGCCCGTTCAATAGTCCCCGTACAACCCTCACTACTGGGGCCCACCTCCTTCCTTTGTCCCATTGTTCTGCACTCCTTCCCACCTCCCCGGCCCTTGGCTGCTTCTGCCCCAGGGTCCTGTCTCCTGTGGCCTCGGGACACCTGTCTCTCCGGCCATCTCTGAAGCAAACTCTTGATTGAGGAAACGTCACCCATCTTGTGGTATAGATGCCGCATTTTTGATCTACACTTAATTTACATCTGCACCCCTCCCCACCCCCCCATACTCACATACAGACCCTGACCTAGCTTGAGGAGAGGAGAGGTGGGGGGCTGGTTCCACAGAAGCCAAGCCCCCAAGGCTTTCCACCCTCTCTGGACCTGAGGAAGCACCTTGGTCTGTTTCAAAAGTATCAGTAATGCTGCGCTTAAAAAGCTTTACCTTTGTGATCATGTTTAGTGTTCTCTTGAGGACAGCGCTGCTGTTCCCTTTTATGGAGAGGGAAACTGAGGCCCAGAGAAGATAACATGTTCAGGATCCTGGATCTAGAGTATATAATCTTGAGTCTAGTGAATGGCCAAGGTGAGACTTGAGCTCCGGCCTGGGAGACCCCGAAGCAGGTGTTCAGTGTGCTCTCCTCCCCTCCAGCTGTGGCAGTTTGGGGAATGGGTAGATGTGGTCGTGGATGACCTGCTGCCCATCAAGGACGGGAAGCTCGTGTTCGTGCACTCCGCCGAAGGCAATGAGTTCTGGAGCGCCCTGCTTGAGAAGGCCTATGCCAAGTGAGTGGGGGCCCAGGGCGGAGCTCCAGGCACCCCTGAGGTTTAAGGTCTCACTTGATGCCAGAGTGCTGACCTGGGGCCGCCCGCAGGGTGAATGGCAGCTACGAGGCCCTCTCTGGAGGCAGCACTTCGGAGGGCTTTGAGGACTTCACAGGCGGGGTCACCGAGTGGTATGAGCTGCGCAAGGCACCCAGCGACCTCTACCAAATCATCCTGAAGGCGCTAGAGCGAGGTTCCCTCCTGGGCTGCTCCATCGACGTGAGTGCACCCAGCCTTGCCCCTTGCGCCCCACCTTGACCAGTCTCCTCTTTCGGCCGCTCAGTTCCATCTCCCAGCCCAGTCCGGCCTCATCCCTTGTCCCAGGTGTGGCTCCAGGCCCTGTCCTTCGCTGCACACCATCTCTGGCTGCTCACCCAGCCTCCTCCATCACCCCAGCCCCATCTGCCTCCTTCATGCCCGGTGTCATTCCTGCGCCCCAAGCCTCAGACCTCAGCTTGTCTTCCCACCCTTCTGCTGTTTGTTGCTGTCATAGAATGCTGCGCCCATATGCCATCCAGCTCACCGGCTTCAGACTTCCGCTCTTCCCTAGCCTCAGCTCTGGCCCAGCCTCCTTCACCCTCTTGGCTGCTCTTCTGTTCCCACGAACTCACCCTTGATCTCAGGCTCCTCCCCCTACATCACTGCCTCCTCAACTCTAACCCCCTTCCCACCTTCCGCCCTTGCCCAGTCCTGGCTGACTCTAGCTTGTCCTCAGCCCCCTCCTCCACCTCACCGCATCCCTCCACGCGAGGGCCTTGGGGCTCTGGGAGAAGCTATGTATGACTGTATGTGTGTGCACGTGTGTGTTTGCACAGAGTCCGGTCATCTCTGGCCAAAGAGGTGTCCGTGGACTGCCCAGGTCCCCTACCAGTGGTTGAGTTGGTGGAGTGTCCAGGCGGCCCTTCTTCTAGGGGCGTATAGGGGTATTAGGCAGTCAGGGTTCCTGCCTGCCACTCCCAATCGCTGTCGTATGTGCATGGGAATGTTCTTGACCCATGAGTGCTTGGCACTCACTTCCTGACTGGGGATGGGGACGCCAACCTGGTCCCTGGAACCTGGCCCCTGACCACGGCACGTGTGACTCTGCAGATCACCAGTGTCCTGGACATGGAGGCCATCACCTTCAAGAAGCTGGTGAAAGGCCACGCCTACTCTGTGACGGGTGCCAAGCAGGTACCGCCACACGTGGGGGCCGTCCTGCAGGCTGGTTCCTGCCTCCTTGCTTGCCTTCCATTGTCTGGCCTGCGACCAGGGCTGTGGGAGGGGCTGGCTCTACCTCTGACCTCCTGCAACATCTTATTTGTCTCTTGGGACCACTTATCCTGAGATGTTTATCTTTCTCTGCCCTGATTTTCTGTAGTCTTGTGCATAGCTGTCTCCCTCTGTGTCAAATTCCTACCGAAAGGGCTGTACTTCCCTGGTGTGGTGCTGGGTGCCGAGCAGGGCTCCTGAGGGTGACGCGGCGGGCAGGGGGTATTTAAGGTGCATGCCAGAAGCAGGTGCTGACGAGAGCTCTGGGGAACAGGTGAACTACCAGGGCCAGATGGTGAGCCTGATCCGGATGCGGAATCCCTGGGGCGAGGTGGAGTGGACGGGAGCCTGGAGCGACGGGTGAGGGACAGAGGACACCGGCCAAGGAGGCTGGGGAAGGCTGGTCGGTGCCACTGACATTTATGCTGGGGCTCTTCTCAGGATTGAGCAGGGTGGGGGGCCCATCGCCTTTTTACTGGGTCTGGGGGACTGTCTGGACGAAGCTCAGGCCCAGCCGGCCGCCACATCTAGCCCACGAGCATCCTCAGGACAGCCCTGGCATGGGATCTGGGGCCCGGCCACGCAGAGGCCTTCTGACCTGGGCTGAGAGCGCAGGCCCCAGGAACAGAGGCCGGCAGTTCCCACCGGCCCCTGGCAGCACCCTTCTCCCCCCAGCTCCTCGGAATGGAACAACGTGGACCCTTACGAACGGGAGCAGCTCCGGGTCAAGATGGAAGATGGGGAGTTCTGGTGAGCGGCTCCCCTCCTTAGTGCGGCCCCCCTCGGGGCTTGGCGCCCCAGCTCCTGAGCCGCACAGACCCCGCACGCGCCTCCTCCCTGGGTGCCCTGGCTGGGGACCATGGCTCACGCCTGCACCGTGACCCCAGGATGTCCTTCCGAGACTTCTTGCGTGAGTTCTCCCGCCTGGAGATCTGCAACCTGACGCCCGACGCGCTCAAGAGCCGGTCGATCCGCAAATGGAACACCACGCTC